AGTATGAAGCATGGCATATTATTGAATACAGTACATTGGCTTCTTCCAATGAACAGCAAGGTGACATCAATTACTAACTAATAATGACAGATTTGATTAATGGTCTCCCCTCGTTTGTAAGCGTTCTTTATGCTCTTATTTTTAACTTTAAAAACTGCAGAATATCTTACATTTGGGAAAAGGCAAAGAGGCACAACCGAAGACCTCAAGGAAAGCAAAAATTAATTATTGAAATTATTTTCCATAATATTACTTCCGCCGGGGGATACCAAATAGTATTGCATATAGAAACTCTTAAAAAGCCCTTTTCCTAAATTACGCCAAAGAAAGGAAAGTGAAAATTAAAGTATTTTTGAAGCAGGCTGCGGCTTTCCGATCAGCTGGTGAGAAGAAATGGCAGAGCGGTCTTCACGTCTAGAGGATGGGCTTTCTTGTCCAGTGTGCTATGAAATCTTCAAAAGACCGAGTCATTCTGAAATGCAGTCATACCTTCTGTAAAGCTTGCTTGGGTACGTGTTGGAAGGAGACTACCACATGGCTTTGCCCATTTTGCAGACAAAGCACCGATGGTGAAGTGATCGTATCTATCGCACTCTCCTACCTGAGCAAACCAAGCGTGGATTCCAAAGAGCTCTGTAGTCTCCACACAGAGAAACTGAAGGTGTTCTGCGTAGACGAAGAAAAGGCTATTTGTGTTGTGTGTCAGATTTTGAAACAGCACGCCCGCCACAAATGTTTTCCCATCAAAGGAGTTGTACAGGATTAGGTATGGAGGGGGTAAATTGACAGATTCAGAGCCATCTTGCCTGAGTTTTGGGTATTGGAGGCTGTTTTGAATGTGAACATTATCTTGTTAATTGTATTTCAGGAAAATCTCAACGCTGCCTTGATTCATTTAAGAGCTAAACTAGAGGAGTACGCGGAATTCAAAAAATGATAAGAAACAGCAAAGTTCCTTAAAGTAAGATGCATCACCTTTTGTCCTCATCCCAGCTGAATATCTTGTCTCTTTAGCAATCTCCTTTAGTTGTCCCTGATAAGTGTCTAATAGGTATTTTTTTATTCGTGCAAATGAAATGTTCTCCCGTCAGGGAGTAAGGGTCAGTCGTTTCAGCTTGTTGGTCAATTTCTAATAACGCGCGTCTCAAGAAATCAAATCATACTGATGATCACGGTCTGTTTCGTGGTACTAGTTGAAATGGTCTGTTTTACCCAGGTGTAGCTGTAAGTCACGTGCAACCTCACCCGAGAACCACATCTGACGCCAAACAGGGCCGAATGCCTCTCGGTGGGAGTGAAGTCTAAAACCAGAGGCTGTAGTATCGCAACGAAAGAATCGCTCCCTAGATTTCCCTAGATAGGCAGAATAACAAAGAAGCAAGAAAAAAATGCATTTCTTACATTACCAACTTATAAGGGCAGGGACAATAATGTCTTGATAAAGTCTCAAGATCTTTATTTATTAATTTGTAGGGGGGTTTAACATAAATTGCGGTGGAATAATGAACACCATAAAGAATATGGTGGGCATCTTTTTTATAGTTGATTTTTCTGGCACATCAAAGACCACACACAGTGTAAATGATAACCAGATTTTATAATAAATTATAACTTGGCAGCTTCAGTGGTCTGTTCACTACTGGTATGATAGACCGTTTATTGTTTTATCCCTAATAACCTACATGTGCACCTGTTTATACACCTGGGTATTCTACTGGAGCTTTTCAGGTGAAGTACCTTGCTTTAGGGTCATAGAGCAGGGTATCACCTGGGATTCAAACCCACAATGTCCCCGTTATAAGTCCAGAACCCTCCCCATTGCAGGGAGACCTCCAAGGAAAAGTGGTTTCCTTCCACAAGTGGTGTTGTGAACCAGTAGGTGGCAATCTTGCACCTGGGCCAGAATCATCATGATGACAGCCATTGCTGCTGTGTCCTGGTAGTGTTTGAAAAATGACCAGTAAGAGGGCACTGCCAGCAGCCATATCGCCCTGCAACTCACGACAGACAGCCCGCTAAAGCTAAGGAGATGTAAGCCTGGTCAGTAGCTGGATGGGAGACCACCTGGGAAAGTTAAGGTTGCTGCTGGAAGAAGTGTTAGTGGGGCCAGTAGGAGGTGATCACTCTGCAATCTATGTGGATGCTAATGCTCCAGTATACTGCCAGGGACACTATATTGTAAACCGTGCTGTACTTCAGATGAGATGGGTTTCTCAAAAAGGGTAGGGGTGTTAACCCAGCAGCCTGGACAAACTTCCCATTGGCCTTTACCAAGTGAAGTCTGTCAGGTCAGTTACCAGTGCATAGGAGATTAGTGTCATGCATGACCATCTGAAATGGCTCTGACATTTATTAGAAATCTAGACAGAAAAAGGAAATAATAAATGTTATTTTTTATTTTTCCAAGTAATTAGGTAAAGTTATACAGAAACCCTGTTTCACAACTTTAAACACAAGTATACTATAAATACTCCAGTATATACTATAAAGTGATGATAGTGAGACTACTTTTTGTGCTCTTTGTAGGATGAGGTAATCATACACTGTGTTGGGAATGTAGGCTAGGATCCAGACTGGACTGACATTTTCTGGCCTCCTAGTGCCCAATACCCACAGCAGCACTGCCTGCAGTGAGGAATGTTCTCGTGAAGGAGTGACATCACTGTGACGGACTCCTCTTACACTGACAAAATAACAAGTAGCAATTAGTTCAAGGAAGAAGGTGTTGTAATATATCATGTTCCTCTGTAGTCTGTAAAAGTGAAGTCCATTAAAATTGAGAGCTTACTGTACAACAGATATCGGAAGCATCCACAGTAAGCACTGCCTGAGGTGTTCCACCATCTGACAGTATTATTACTACTACTACTACTACTACTACATTTTTAAGTAGCGAGTAGAAGCCTTACTAAACTGTGGACCCCCTAGGCAGTTCCTTGAGAACTCCTGGAAATAAATGAAGCTTTCTTATATATGATGATAAATTCAACATTAATTCAAATCCTTTTGCTTTTCAGCACTACAAGAATACACAGGAACATTGTGTACAGTAATTACCACAGACTCTTGTCCTTGTATCATATCCAGTGCACAGCTGCTGCAACACTGACTCTTGAATTCGATTGCAGAGCCAAGTGTACCCTGCAGGAGCAAGAGATGGTTTCAGGGGCTCTGATAGATCAAGCCAAGCACCTGGGCTCTCTGAAGTACAAGGTGTGGGAGAAGATGCTCAGGATTATTGATTACAGTGAGAACAGGGGGCACAGAAAGAACAGATTTTGTTCACGTAGCTAGCTGTGTCAGCATGCGTAGGCTGCAAAGGAACAGGTAAAGGTTTATTCCGTGCTGAAAGGACATCTTACAATAAGTACACACTCTAACAAACCATGAAACTCTACTCAGTTAAAGAAACATTCTAAATCGGGCGATTGTCTTTTGTTAACCTGCACAATTGGTTGCTGTGGCTAGACTTGCACAATAGAAGATTTCCTCAAAGTCCCACCACTTGCTATTGTCCATGTCTTTTTCCTGTCCTGGTTCTGAAACTGAAGTCTTCCAGTCCTCCGCAGGAGCTCAAAGTCCCTTCTAGTGCTCCTTCATAAGGATCCTCTCCTCCAGCTCCCTCCCTCCTTACTCTGTTGTGCTGGATGCATTTCACAGTCTTTGTTTTATTGAGGACATCGGCTGCCAAAGCAAGTACTGTGTCCTTTTGTCCAATCCTGTCAGTGCCAGCCCCAGGAGGATGCACTAGTAGCTTAGCACCAGTCCCACTCCCAGGAGTTAAAGTTTTGTCCATTCTGCCCCACACCACTTTGGCCAAGGGACAGCTCCAGAATGTGGGCTCCTGCATCTCCTCGACAAAACATGTGTCCCAGGGGCAAAGTGGGTTCCTGGTGATCAAGTGTCTATAGAGGACCTCTTTAGTCAACAGCCTCTGGTACGTGGCTGCCTAGTTGAGATCTGGTACAGGACCCTGTGGTTGGTGTAGAGTCCAGCCATCCTGTGGCCTTATACCTCCTTGATGATCTCTTGGTCCACTTTATGGTCTTGTTGTCTGCAACGAAATCCCCAATATCTGAGGGGCTTCCTGCAGAGCTCGAGACCTTCTGGCAAGGCCCTGGAGTATTGCTCCATGACCTGGAGGGCTCTCTGCAGCCCCCAGCTCGAGTTCAGGAACATTGTTTGGGTCATCTGAGTGCTAGATCTTGAGGACTTCCCTGTACATCCTGACCCTATTGCCCTATTGCGAGTATGTGCACGTTTTTGTCAGTGTGTCCCCTGTGATAGCCTGGCGTGCGGTCCACTGTGTATCCTGCCTTGAGCTTGTTGCTTGTTGCAATAGGTCCTGGCTTCCCTGCAACCCTGAATTGGATAAAGCAGTTAGAAAATGGATGGGTGGAAGGTAGCTGACAGTTTAACCTTTTCCTTGACCTACTTACAACTTTCATCTCATTTAACTTAATTCCATCCACTCTATGAGATCTGTAGAGCCTTCTGGGAGTATTTGCAGTGTATTTTGCCACCACCCTAGAAGTGCCCCCTACTTGTATGCTGGGAGATGGCTCTCATTATATGTTTTTGTACCCCTAGAATGTAATTGCTGCTTGTTGTTCAACTTTAGTTGCCTTTAGTTTAGGCACATCTCAAAGCAGCATACTACAAGATCACAACCCAATTGCAGGTGTGACCCCTGCACAACCAGGCAAGTTTATATTGCCTCCTGGGAAACCTGGGTCTCTTACTGCTAATAACAGTGCCCAGATTGCCATTAGGAACCTCTAGAGGGGCTACACAGCTCTACCTGCAGTCAGAAGGCAGAATTGTACTATCCGAGCACTACAGCTGTTAGTTGAAATACCTTTATTTGAAGATTTTGTGTAAAATCCTCAAAGTCAAACCACTAAGCTTCTTGAGATTTAACAGTGAAACATGAACCAAGGGGACATAAGGGGAACAAAATAAGACAGAACAGAAAGCACTTCCTTACACAAGGGGCTGTGGGAGACTGGAAAAGCCTTCAAGAAACACTCAAATTGGGGAGAAAGGCCTCCTCTTGCTTTCAGACTTCCTGGTGTTCAAAGAAAGGTAAGAAAAGTGAAACTAGCACACTCACCACAAGAAGACTTCGACAACCATCTGAGAAGGAAGTAGCAAAACAATGGTATCAGCACAGACAGCACCAGGCGGATGACATTAATCAACTCCATCCTCCTCTTGTCCCTTTCTGAAACAGATGTGTCAAACTGTTACCAGTTACGTTTTCACAGCAGGTGCTTTTACCCATCGTATGACCTAGTGTGGACCTACACTGCCCTCCAAAAGCACTGGGACAGTGAAGCTGAAATGACTATTTTTGCTGAAGCAATTTGAGATAAATGAATGAGGCAAAAGAAAATGTCACTTTATTTCTGGTTATTTCTACACGTATATGCTTTAATGTTTTAGATGAATACCACTTTTTGTGTTCTATCCCTCCATTTTAAATGAGCATAAGTTAATTAAAATAGTATAAATATTAGTAGTTGGTTGCAAATCTTTTGCATGCAATAACTACATCAAGCCTGAGATCCAATAATATTGCCAGTCTTAGTTTGTTCTTTTGAGTTGCTTTTCCCAGCCTTTGTTGTTTTTTTTTTTACAGTTGCCATTTGTTTTGGATGTTTTCTACCTTTAGTTGACTTTTCAGCAAGTGAAATTCCATGCTCTATTGGATATAAATCAGGAGATTAATATGACCAGTCTAAGGCTTTGTACTTTTTTCCCCTTAATGAACTCCTTGGGAACACTGGCAATGTGTTTTGGGTCATTATCTCACAGCCTGATGAAACAGTGTCTAATGAGTCTGGGGGCATTTTCTTGTACGTAGGAGATGTTTCTGCACGCTTCTGAATTCATTCTACTGCTGCAGTCTTTAGTTGCAGTATCAATAAAAATGAGTGAGCTAGTTCCAGAGGTGGTCATACTGTACATACCCAAGCCATTACACTGTCTCTGCCTTGTTTCACAGATGAACAGGTACTGAATGCTTCTCCACACTTTTACCCTGCTATGACTTTGGTAGAGGTTTCTTTGTCTCATCTGTCCATAACATTTTGTTTCAGAACTCTAACTTCCTGTGAACAGCAGATTGCGATACCTACTGTACACCCCTGCACTGTGGAGGATGTTGGCAATTTTAGCAACAGTGGTTTTACAGTTTTTCCTTCTCCAATAAATTCTCTGGTCATTTTTCTATCCTCAACTGCAGTTGTGTTCCTCAGCCAACCTGACTGGTGCCGATTGCTACATACACCAGGTGAGCATTGGAACAATTGAATGCCAATTTTTACCCATTTCCTGTAGCATTGATTGTGCACACATAAAAGAAATGATCTCATCCAGCCATTTCTTCAGAGCAGTACGGAAAGACAAAACTGAGAACTGTGAGAAACTCATTACAAGAGAGCAAAACGTGCTACCAGCAACATTATTAGTCCTTAAGTAAACATAACCTGTATATGACTTATACAGCTTCTTCCCAGATGGGAAGAAATCTCATCATATAGTGCATGCCAAAAAATACAAGATCTAAAAGAAGCAACCTAAAACGTTGTGAAAATTCTAGCAATGTAACCTTAACCAACTGGAGGCTGTGCTGTACTGCACTGCACTGCACTGGAAGAAGAAGTGCTCACCTCGGTTTGTGCTTTGCTCTTCTGCGGACGTGAGGGATCTCTGGCTGGTCAGCTCCTCACCTACAAGTACAAGACAGAACTGGAGAAAAAGTGTCTGATCTAATGAGCCTAACACAAGCCCTTTAACTTCCTAGTGTCATCTTGAACTTGGTATTTCTGCTAGCTCCACCCCCAACCCAAGAACTGTAATACTTTTGAAACATTTTGCCATATCTCATATTTAATACATCAAGATCTGTGATAAACCAAATTTGTTTTATTTAATATTTGTGATTAAGTTATTTCCTTCTACAACATCTACAAGATGTTCAGAGTAGAAGTGATCATCTCATGACATGACCAACACCTGAAGTGTAAAACCAGCTTGTCACAAAAGGAAGGGCAGGTCAAACATAAAACAGGACAACTACACAAAGTGTGAATGAAACTTTTCTTTTTGAGTTGATGTACTGTATGCAAGAGATGGAAAACCCTTGGTAGTATGCTCAAAAACTGAATTTGTGCAATATTGATGAAGAATTTTCCACAACACATACAGCATGATATTTTAACTGGAGCAGGCCCAGTTTATCTCAAAATATGAATGCATCTGAAGCCTACATGTTGTTCACATTGGTTTTCATAATAAAGATACAGCAGCTGGTAAAAGCATGACTAGGGTGTCATCATCCCTTCCACATGCTTGAAAGCACCTACTTTTCTCTTTAAAAAAAAAAACAGCTTCTTTCAGTTGCTACTCAACCACAATTTTAAAACACCTGATCAAAGTTTTTGATAAGCAATTTGATTTTGCCTCAAAAAGTATTGGTTTCATTAAACTGTAGTCCAGAAATGAATAAAGGAGACCACTACTAGAGTCCAGACAATGTCCTTACCAGTGTCATGCATACCCAAGCCATTACACTGTCTCTGCCTTGTTTCACAGATGAACAGGTCCTGAATGCTTTGAATCTGTAGTTCATTCCTTTCTCCACACTTTTACCTTGCTATGACTTTGGTAGAGGTTTCTTTGTCTCATCTGTCCATAACATTTTGTTCCAGAACTCTAATGTCCTGTGAACAGCAGATTGCGATACCAACTGTACACCCCTGCACTGTGGAGGATGTTGGCGATTTTAGCAACAGTGGTTTTACAGTTTTACCTTCTCTGATAAATATTCTCTGGTCATTTTTCCATCATCAACTGCAGTTGTGTTCCTCAGCCAACCTGACTGGTGCCGATTGCTACATACACCAGGTGAGCATTGGAACAATGCCAGACAACGTCCTTACCAGTGTCCTTACTCCTTGGGCCTGCGACGAGGAGGCAGACAACAGCTCTCTGTTCCCTGTCGGACAAGGACACTCTCAGGCTGTAGTTCCCAGAGTCAGTGGGCCGCAGACCTTCTATCTGTAGGGACGCGTTCTGTGGGAAGAGGCTTACTCTGCCCCTGTATGCTGGCGCTATAAACTGCTGAGGTTTGCAGGCCTTATCAGAGGTGGGAAGACAGGGTCGGACATATTTAAGAAGGAGCTCACTATTGAACGACCAGGTGATCTGTAAGAACTTGTAGGACTTTGCTATCGTGTAGGACACGGGCAACATGACTGACCGATGGACATAGCCCACGGCTGGGTTCTCATGCACTTTGAGAGAGAGGGCTTTTGACATACCTGGAAAAGAATAAAAAGAGGGAAAAAAAGAAGAAAATCTATTTTCTGAAAGCAGTTCCTACAGGTTCAGAGAGCACTGAGTTTAACACCTTTCTGACAAAGACCCCCAAATCTATCAGTCTGGGGAAAACTTCAGTTTGACACAGCAGCTCCAACATCTCCCAACTTTTCAGTTCATTGTCATATGCACACGTGCAGTGAAATGCTTCTTTGCATGTATGCTCCAATACAAAGACATTAAAGGAATCACCAAAAACAGCAGCAAGTAAAATAACATACAACTTAAAAAAAAAAGTCAGACAAGCAGCGCGAGAAGGAAAACCATCAGTGTAGGCCACTGGTAGGGTTGGAGTTCAGTAATTGACAGCTTGTGGGAAGAAACGGTCCCTGAATCTGAAAGTACGCGTCTTTATGCGCCACTTCATCACTATGTATAGTTTTAAAAACCCAGGGTTACCAATAATCTGCGTCACAGCAGCTTTGCAGATGAAGAAAAATGAACACTGCATACCCATTTGCGTTTTCAGAGAGGTACAAAAAGTATACCTCCATTTTTGTATTAAATAAATTTAACCGATTAGTGAGAAATGACACAGCCAGTTAGACTTGCATCTTGAACATATATTGAAGCAAAGTTTTGAACTCATTACCTGATAATACAAACGAGATCTTGCGCAACATTAGGGATGAAAAAAATGCTAAATTTATTTGTAACCGTCTGTGGAAATGGTTCAAATTTATACAGTACTAATTTAAGCTTTCTTTTTCTGATGAGTTATCAAAACTAGCAACAGATTAAATGTGTTAATTTTGGTATTTTTGTGCATCGCCTTTAAAAAGTTTTCCACAGCCAAAATGTTGCATTTCCTTTTTCAGCATGTGATAAATCCGTTACCTGTTCCTTTGTAGCCTACGCATGTTGACACAGCTACCTACTTGAACTACTTTATTACATGATACAGTGTTTAAAAACATTGAGGCTCTTACATTTACTGAAAATGGTTAACATCCAATTAAAAAATAAATTCATTTGCATTGGCTACCAAACAGTGATTTTACCACTGGCAAAAAAAATTTTTAGAACAATTGTTCTGTTGCTTTCTCAACAAAAATACTGTTCTTTAGCATAATGTACAATAAAGTTGCATATTACTTTAAGAAGCCAACACCAAAAAACATACATGTTGATTCCAGATTCTGAGCTATTGAAGCTAAAGGATAAGTAATGGAACAAGTAATAGGTTTATTCCATGCTGAAAAAAAAAGAAAGAACATTTCAGCCGTGGAGCCTTCTTCAGGTGTGCTATTAATAAGAAATAACTTGAAGACAAACTACTTTATGCAATTCAGGATTACCAGGGAGCCAGAGCCTGTCCCAGCAAGTAATGGGCACAGGACAGACTAGTGTCCTGTCCAGGGTACATCCAATCACAGGGCGCACACTGGCAAACAGACATGCACACACTTACACCTGGGCCAATATTCCCAGAAGCCAATTAAACTATGAGTATGACTTTCGACTGTAGGAGGAAACTGGAGCACCTGGCAAAAACTAACTTGATCACGGGAAGAACATACAAACCAACTTGGTTGAAAATGCTAAGGTAGTGTTTCAACTATGTTTTAGTAAAGAAAGTTTTAAAATATCAGTTGCAGGATTTTTGGTTGGTCAGACATTTTATGAACCCGTTTCCTGTTTCAGGTGAGATGTTCATATGCTACAAACAAACTTAGTCTTTTTAGGACTAATAATTTGTTAAACTATAGTGAAGCTTTGGAAAATCAGCAGATTAAACAGCAGATAAACCTTTATATCCGAGACCCCAAAATCCAGACCTTCTCTCATTTTGTTAATGATTCTTTAAGTGGAAATGTGTTCAGTTCATTGCACGTTTCACTGAGCAATTACAACAGAACTACTTACCAGCCAGACAGCTGAACACCAAAGAGAATGAAAGAAGGCTGTAGACCGAGCTCCTTTTGGGAAGCATTCTGAAACGGACCTGAATGAGAGACAAGTAGAGAAGTCTATTCAGAGAGGTCACACAGATTTCCGCATGATACATTGTTAACTGGTCATTTCAGTGCATTTCCTATTGCAGTTTCTCGGTGGGGTGTGTGGTTTCCTGTTACAGGATGATGTTTTGTCCACTGACTTCACAAGAAACTATCTGTGTCACAATGGAAAGAAATATAAAGTTGCGCAGACTTGTACCTTTACTTCATCCACCAGCTGGATGCTGCACATTGGCAGTGGCAGAGGGGAGTCCCCATTACCTGTAAAGCACTTTGAGTGGAGTGTTCAGAAAAGCGCTATATAAAGTAAGCAATTATTACTTTCCATGAGATTTTTACCTTTGGCCTTTTGTTGCATGTCAAAACACAAAGATTATTTCAGCTGGACAATTGTTGCTTTGAATCGCTTCACTACGGTTCAGATGGCCCGCAAAAGAATCTGGTTTCCAGTCTGCTTGCTAGAGGTAAACTGTCACATGGTCAGATCTTCACCACTTGCTCTTATGATGAAAATCTCTCTCGGTTCTTGTCCTCACTTTCCTGTGGTATTTAAAATTCTGCTTTAAGGCCTACTTTGTGCTGTGATCCATTCCCATGGAGGTGGCAATTATTGTCGAATAGGTTACGTTCGAAGAGGCCTAACAGATTGCACTCTAGAGTATGTTGGGTTAACAATTAGTACCACACTTTTGTTCATTTAGACCTCTAACCACATTTACTGACTTTAACACACAGGACAGCTGTGCAAATACTTAGAACAACTCCAATTGTTCTCAAGTTACACAGCATGGTAACCCTGATAGGAAGTATAAATATTCAGCTCCTCAATCTCAGCATTATTCCTCATAGTAATATTGTTTGTATTCCATCTTTTCCTCACAATTTGTGAAATTTTACAAGGCAGTCACCTCAGTAACTAAAACATGGTGTGAAAATCTGGAATCCCCCTTTTGAAACACGTTTCTTCAGATCAGAGACCAGCTGTATTTTATCCCAGCACTGACCTGGTGGTGCCAAATAATGGACATTCAACTGTGAAGGGTGTCCCTTTTGCACTTTTATGTGACATTCTGACAGTCTGAATTTGAACCCTACTAAAGTATTAATATATTTCTGAACTGGTGGCTGAAACCTCACAGTACATTATAATTCTGAAAAAGATACTGAGCACAGTCAGATAAAGGCTGGGGGAACCTTCAGGGTTTTACTAAAGTTGCATTTTCCTCCCCCTCCATCTTAAACATCATGAGAACTATTGTGCATAACTTGTAAAATGAGTATCCCACCTGTGTAACCTTATCCACTGCTTGTCCTTGGAGTCTATTCTAGTTTCACCCTGCTGAGAACTAATCGCTGGACCATGCACAATGGCTGTCCACAACTGTCCCCATGACACTTGGCCACCAATCACAGGTAGAACATGCAAGCTCCACCACCCACCCCCATGAACAATTTACAAACTGCTATAGGCTACAAGACAGCGGCTTGAAGAATAGAGGTTTAAGAGAATTAAAAATAATCATTGGTTACAATATTTGTCTTACAGCAGTCACACAAACCTAAGTTGCAAGTTCCATTGTTTTTACTGATTATTTTTTATGGTCAATTGCAAAGTTCTGCTGTAATGAGTCTCAAGAAACAGATCTTTCAATTTCCACCACATGCTTGGATAGATTTCATCAAGCTTTTTATATCAAAACAGCCAATTGGATAATGTTTCACTGACAAGAGTGTAATTGTAAGCATTTACACGCAGTTACATCATGTTCAGGAAGCACTCGCCACACCAAGAGTTCCCCATTTTGTATACAATACAAAGTTCTTCCATTTTCTGCATACAGTACCTGGTCCGGTCCAGCCTGTTCCAGTCCACAACTGTCCCTCATTATCCCAATACCGCCAGTCCTGTTTCCAATCCCACACTGGGACACTGGTAGTCCTGTGGTCCCAGTCTGTCCTCCATCAGCCCTCACTGGCCGTCATCCAAGGCCAGACAGCCTTTCCATCCTCCACGCTGTCTCGCAGATGGATCTCTTCCTCTTCCCATTTACTTTCCAATACCAAAGTGTACATCACTTTCAGCCTGGACTGCCGCTGTCTGGTTGGAATCTATCGTGTGGCCAGTTTGTACTTCACGAACCTGGAGGGCCTCAGGCTGTGAGCCGGAAGACTAGCATCCTGGATGCAGTTTTCCTAGGTCTATACCTTGCTGGCTCAATGTCTGTTTAGTGTTCTGCTGGAGGGCATCACACAGAGTGGTGTTCTCCTTTTGTAGAATGGTTTAACAGAGCATCACATGAATCTTCCAGCAGCAGGAACACAAGTGGGCACCGGAACCCATGAGCCCCTGGTCATGGATATTCTACAGTTCCTTCACCTGGGCTTCTCGTCTGGAATCTTCCCATTCATATCTACTGCTTTTCTCTCCCCATGGAACAGTCACCATCAACTTCTGATCCTCCTCCCCAGAGCAGGGGGCCAACTGCTGCCTGAGAAGACCATGCAGGTATTTCCCCTACCAGGAGGGTGAGCTTCATCAGCCTGGGGCAGCAGTGCCAACCTCAGTAAGCCAGCCTCCTCACAGTTGCCTCACTTATCCAGCACCATTCTGGGGTACTCCACCCAGTCAAGGCTGGGCAGCACTGCCGCTCTGCCCATACCAGAAGCCTGGGACCCATCATCTTCAAGATGTCTCTCTTCCCTTTCATCCCATTTTTTGGGGGGAGGACTCATGCATTCCCAAATCAGTTCTCCATAGTGCCAGTTCAAGGCCATCATCTGTTTTTTTAAGTTAAAATCTGTAGTAGCAGCTCTGTGTTTTTCCAACAGCACTCAATTCCTAGTTTAAGCTCTAATTTGTGACAGACCCTGTCCTCAAGCAGAGCAGTCCCAAAGATCTGCACAGAAAACAGATGGCCAACACAAGAGAAATCCAAGACTTTTTAATAGATATCTTTTCAGATGACAAAACAAAATCTAGTGCAAACACCATACATCCACTTTAAATATCCAATTACAGCCATGTGAGAATTTGAGTTTCTCAACCCTTTACTAATTAACCAATAATTGCACAATGAATCCCTGGTGTGGCTATTTACAAAGATTGGAAGCCTTACGGTGACCTCTAGTGGCAGGCCAGCTTAAGTGCAGCCCTTTCTTAAATCAGCCTGCTACACGACATGACTGACATTTTCACATTTCTGGGAACAATAATTGTCAGAGAGCTCCCACATTTTATTGCCACTAATGGGGGGGGACAGCTCCTGTTCAAAGTGAAAAAAAGCAACTTATGCTAACAGACAGGCTTCTAGCAAGCAGATTGTGACCTGTACTGTTGCCCCTTTGCCCAGTTCTGTTCTGATAAGATAAGATAAGAATGTTCTGTGACTTGGGTTTGTTCAGGCCTAGTGGCACTTGACCAGCTTTGTTTAAGGAGAACTGCATTTAAAACTGAGAAAAGGGGACATTGCTTTACAAAAAGAGTGGTACGTGTCTGGAGCATGTTATGGAAACTGACAGGAGCGTGATGTAGGAAAGGATCAACCGAATGAAATCAATTAGCTACTAACAAACAAATGAGCTACTGTGTCCTCCTCTCATTGGTAACTTTTCTCACGTCTGCTCATGTTCTCCTGTTAAACTGAAGACAAGACACTGGGCTACAGTCCTCAGCTTTCACTGGTTAGCCCACTGGGGCACTTTCCCATGGCATTTTAAAAAGGACAAATGATATTGATCAAGAAGAAGGGGCTCACGCCTGGCACAAGCTTCAAGCCCCAACTCCTGCAGACTTCTCTCTCCCCTCCTGGTCTCTCCTCTTCTCTGCCTGTCGTCTCTCTCCCCCTCTCTGTCTCCTAATGTGATCTTATATTGTCTCTTTCTCTGCTGCTCCTTGCCGATCATTAATCCACAGTTTCCCAAGCTATACTAAGGTAAACTTTACCATAGTTTCTGCTCAAGGGACCTCCCAGACCTCAGCAAACACCCTCTCTCCTTTGAAGTTAGAAGTATTTACTCTTCCCAGTGTCACAAACTTTATTTAACATCTAAGAGAGACTTCTCAGTCACCCCAAAGCTGTAACAATATAGAAAACTAACGACAACTGTTTCTTTCTGGAGATTCGTTACCAATTCTGATGGCAATTACAGGCACACAGTACAGTACTTCTTAGAGCACCCTTTTGGTATGATACTCCTTTAAAGGAGAAATAAAAATAAAAATAAAAACTAAAAAAAATACATCCAGAAGCTGATGAAAAAATCCAGAAAAAAATACACCTTGATTATCAATTAGCATGATTATCAGTCATCAATGCTTAGCCCTCAGCTGATGAGAGCCGGTGACAGGAATCTAAAGCTCATCTAAATTGGATAAAAAGAGAACTGCCAATAAATGTCAAAGGCAAGCTGTTAGTGTGGATGTGAAATTGCAAATTAAAACGTGGAGACTGGCGAGCGTCCGCTTAACACTGTTTGCATGTTTTCTTTATAAAACACTTTATGTAAAATAATTATGTACAGAGTAGCAGTACTGATTATTTATCAGTAGAAGTAAAAAAGTTCCATTGGGAACATTTCAATTTGTCTCTTCGATATTATTAAATGATTCATTTAGATTTGAATGAACTATGCTAATGCTAGAGTTACACTAGGGGGAGACATTTCCAAATATAATTATCCCAGCAAAATAATCTGTGTTTTGCATTCTGATCTTCATTAAACATGAAAGGGATGTGCAGAACTCACTAAACATAAAAATGGTTCCACACAAGAGGAGGATATTTGGCCCATTACGTAATTAGTTTGGATCTAATTGATCCAAGGATCTCATCAGTCATTTCTTGGAAGAAGACAGGCTATGAGCTTTGACGGCTTGCTCCAGTAATCTGTAGTAGTAGTAGTAGTAGTAGTAGTAGTAGTAGTAGTAGTAGCAGTAGTAGTAGTAGTAGTTTGCTCCATACTCCCACAACCCTATGTGTAAAGAAGTACCTCCTGGTCTCAGAATTACA